TGCAGTGGCACAATCTCGGCTTACCTCCTGGGATCAAGCCATTCTCCTGCTTCAGCCTCCTGAGTAGCTGGGATTACAGGCGCGTGCCACCATGCCCACCTAATTTTGTATTTTTAGTAGAGATGGGGTTTCACCATGTTAGCCAGGGATGGTCTTGATCTCCTGACCTCACGATCTGCCTGTCTTGGCCTCCAAAAGTGCTGGGATTACAGGCATGTGCCACCGCGCCTGGCCTTCAAATGGAATATATTTGTTTAACCAGCATTTAGGTCAAGAACAGAAACTTGCTAGCATCCCAGAAGCTTCCCTCATGTTTCCGTCTCATCATTAGCTACCCATCCCAGCGAGAATCTGGAGCCTTTTTGTCATGGAGGCTTCTCACTGTGCTTTGCGTTTGTTTTCTATGGTAACTGGTTGGCTTAGATTTATGATGTCTCCGCTGGGGTCAAGTTTGGTAAAACAGTACATTTTTCAATGATTATCTATTTCATCCAGGCTTTGTAATTTATTTACATAGAGTTATGCAAGTTGTTTTCTGGGTTTTAGCCTCCCCACCCCTATTATCTTCCCTAAGCCTTAAAGCTATAGGCATTGGATACATTTTTCTCAGAAGTTCCATCAAGGTACATAATACGGGACATTATAAATCCCTCTTGGCTGGGTGCAGTGGCTCATGCCTGTAATCCCAGCACTTTGGGAAGCCAAGGAGGGTGGATCACCTGAAGTCAGGAGTTTGAGACCAGCCTGGCCAACATGGTAAAACCCCATCTCTAGTAAAAATACAACAAATTAGCTGAGCATTATGGTGGGCATCTGTCATCCCAGCCACTTGGGAGGCTGAAGCAGAAGAATTGCTTGAGCCTGAGGGGTGGAGGTTGCAGTGAGCCAAGATCACACCACTGCACTCCAGCCTGGGCGACAGAGCGAGACTCAAGAAATAAAGAAAAGGAAAGAAAGGAGACAAAGGGAGAAAGGGAAAAAGGGAAAGGAAGGGAAAGAGGAGAAGAACTATGGGAAGGAGGGAGAGAGGAAAGGAAGGAAGGAAGGAGGGAGAAAGAAAGAGAAAGAAGAAAGAGATACTTTTCTATTACTTTTACATTTCTAAATACACATAAATAGCTGGATATCTATGTGTATTTCACATGGTGAAAAGTGAATGAAGAGGCCTCTACAAAAGACTGACAAAAGAGCACAAAAGAGATTTGGTTGAGCTGTCTCTCGCCTCTCTCTTCTGCCTTCAGTTGTACTGTGACACCATCTTGCAACTATGAGAGAGAAGCCAAGGGAATTGTGGACACATTAGTCCTGTCATTGATGAACGCTGAAATAACAGGGACCACCTACCTCTAGAATTCTTGGTAAGTGGATACAAATTTCTGTTTGCCTGTGCCATTCTAGGTCAGGATTCTGTTACTTGCAGCTAAATGCATTCCTAACTGATATAGTAAATAAAATAGGCAAAATCAGAAGACTTTTGTTGTTCATAGCATATATATTTTTTAATGTGGGAAAATTATCCTAGAGATGCAAAGTCCTCCAACTCTTAAATAGGAACATGTGTAGCAATTACTTAAGTGCTTATTGCAATGACTTTTTTAGTGTAACCTTTATTAAAAGCAAAATTTGCTTAAATTATTCACAATGCTTTAGATATCATTTACCTTTTTAACGTTTCAGCTAACATTTGCACAATGCGATAGGACCTGTTGTACAGATTATGGGATGCATTTTAATAGGGCTTTGAAAGGATTAAATGAGATCATCCATATACAGAGTCTAGACCAGTGCTTGGCACATGGTAAAGTCCTCCATAAATGTTATTATTATTATTATTTTGAGACAGAGTCTCACTCTGTCACTCAGGCTGGAGTGCAGTGGCATGATCTTAGCTCACTGCCACCTCCACCTCCCAGTTCAAGCTATTCTCCTTGCCTCAGCCTCCTGAGTAGCTGGGACTACAGGTGCCCACCACCACACTCGACTAATTTTTTGTATTGTTAGTAGGGATGGGGTTTTACCATGTTGGCCAGGATGGTCTCGAACTCCTGACCTCAGGTGATCTGCCCACCTCAGCTTCCCAAAGTGTTGGGATTATAGGCATGAGCCACCATGCCTGGCTGTTAATTATTATGTTTTAATAACAAATTTAAATAATGATGTTAGCTATTAATACTTGATGGCTGGCTTCTTCTCATCGTTTACATTCTCAGAAGAAAATGTGCCACATCAGAGAGGCCCTCCCAGCTCTTCTATCTCAAGTGAAATTCCTCCTCAAATACCTCCCATTCCCCACTGCCCCCATCCTGCTTATTGCTTCAGAGATTTTGTAACCAACTGTAATTCTCTTTATTATTTATTTAGTAAGTGTGTGTCTCCCTCGCTAGAACATAAACCCCATGAGAGCAGAATTCCCTCTGGCTGGCATAGATCTCATAGTCTCTATGTATTTATTGAGTCAAAAGATGACCAAAACCATTCAAGAAAGCATCATACTAAGAGGATGCCATGGCCTATGTAGAAGGGCTATTACAGATGTGGCCATTTTGGGGGGCATAATTCTTTGCACATTTAAGTAAAAGTGGAGGTAAATAAAAATTCTGTCTAATTCTAGACCCTTCTCACACTGTGTGTGGGGGGCCTAATGGTTTATTATTACCATGTTCAATCCAAAAATTCATGAATAGTCATTTATATATTTGGCTTACACATCTCTATGAAGTGTGGTGCAAATTTTTACCTTTAAAAAAATAGGTTGTTTTGCACTTGAATAGAGATTTTAAAATCAGATTAAAAATTTTTTTGAAATATGGCTTATTGTAATCAAAGATTAGTAAAATTCTTTATAATTTTTTGTTTTCCGAAGATCTTAAAATTTAGATTTTAATATAGCTCTGTAGAAGTTTTGTTTGATGGCTGGGAGTGGTGGCTCATGCCCGTAATCCCAACAGTTTGGGAGGCTGAGGAAGATGGATCACGAGGTCAGGAGTTCGAGACCAGCCTGGCCAACATGGTCTCTAATAGAAAACTACAAAAATTGGCTGGGTGTGGTGGCACATGCCTGTAATTCCAGCTACTCGAGAGGCCGAGGCAGGAGAATTGCTTGAACCCAGGAGGCCGAGGTTGCAGTGAGCCAAGATAGCACCATTGTACTCTAGCCTGGGCAACAAGAGCAAAACACGTCTCCAGAAAAAAAAAAAAAGAAAAAAAAAGTTTTGCTTGATACCAGGGTCAAAGGGAAAAGGGACACAAAATGTTTTAAATAGCAGTGACAAACCCTAACATAGGGAAGCGAGTCTCAAACACAACGGGGTGACTAATGAGGACAAAGCCTTGACCTAGTAGGGAGGCAGGAGCATGGCCAGTGCCACATTCTGTGGGATGAGGCCCTATCTACCCACCTGGGTATGGAACCCCATGGTGGCCTATAGGACTTTTGCTTGGGGTCACAGGTCATGGATTCCTGATAATTGATGTCATGGGAAGAACACCAGGAGATCTTTTCTTCTTTTTTCCAAAGCCTACTGCTGGGTCCCTATAAGATACAACATCTTGTAGGGACCCAGCAGTAGGCTTTGGCTCCTTGAGTTTGAAACTTATCTTCCCTGCTCAGTAGAGACCTCTGTTGGGGCCTCTCTGGGCCTCATTGGCAAAATGGCAGCTCAAGCTATCCTATTGGGCAATGGCGAGCACTAGTAGATGCCTGATAACTGTGACTTTTGTGGCCCTTCTAGAAGATACCATGAAGTCTCTGTCACTTATGACCAACAAAGTGGCGTTCTGACATATCATTTTCATTGCCATAACTGCCCTATGGCCTGGGAATTTTGTTTTCTAATTTTGATGGATAAGTGGCTAGAGCTGTGACAATCTCATGTGCATTATGCGAAGATTACAGAATTTCTATGTAAAAGGGGCGTACAGGTGGCCAACTTGGAAGAGGAGCTAGGGGCTGGGTCTCAACCTTGATTTTGAGCACGTTTACTGGGATGAATGTTTGTGTGGCACGCTGGTCTTGTGGTTGCACTTGATAGCCGCTGTCCTGGTTTAGGTGTGTTTATTTGGGGTGTTTTGGAGGATTATGGAAACTTGTGGGCTGGTCTTTTGGCTATATTTGCATAGCAAGTCCCAATTTTTATTTGGATTGTGTATTTATTTTGGGGGGCTTTTGAGGGCTTTGTACTAAAAATTGCATAGCAAGCACATGTGGACTGAACGTTATGCGAAAAGTTTGATGGAAATGCAGGTATTTGCTACTTGCTGCCCTCTTTGGGGCTCATTGCTCACCTCTGGTGAGCTATACTGTATGATTAACTTGGGTGAGAGTAATCTGATCTGGAAAGCAGAATGGGAAGTAGATTTGGGGACTGGATTACAGAATGAACTTGAAGTCCCATTTGGCCAGCTTCAAAAGGCACCATCCTTGATGCTGATCTCTTCCTCCCACCCTTCCTGGGAGCCACCCAGGAAGTGACCACGTAAGTGACCACAGCTAAGGGGATAAGCCTAGGGGTGAAAGACTAGGGAACCCCAGAACCTCAGATATAAGCCACACTCCAACCCATGAGTGTGGACCCCTATCCCCACTTTCAATTATGGTGAATGTTTGCTTTTTATTATGAATGATGTTCCACATATCCCGAGGTTCTTTAGCTATTTGTATATCTTTTAAGTTGCATGCTTATATACTGTGCCTATTTTTCTGATGGTTTTGCTTATTAATTTATAAGAAGTCTTTGCTTATTAGGCAAGTCAACCCTTTGTTAGATTTCTACCCACCCAGGCCCTTACCCCATTCAAATTTTAAGTGTGATTTTTGTTTTTGCAGTCACCCCCAACCCCCTTACGGCCTTTAGGTCTGAGGCCATAAGAAAACATACAGTAGTGAGATTTTATACCCACTTCACCTTGGGGCCTCCCAACTTTTGATGTGAGGACTGAGTCAAAGCCATGAACCATGGGAATTCGCTCCGAACTGCAAACAACTCACGGGAGTCCCATCATTCTTTGCTCACATTTAATTTTTATTTTGATTTTTTTAATGCTGCACAACACAATATTTATTTCATTTGTTTCTTTTATTTCATTTTATTTCTGTTTGTTTGTTTGCTGCTGTTATTTATTTTTACTGAAAGTGAGAGGGAACTTTTGTGGCCTTTTTTTTCCTTTTTCTTTTTCTGTAGGCCGCCTTAAGCTTTCTAAATTTGGAACATCTAAGCAAGCTGAAGGGAAAAGGGGGTTTCGCAAAATCACTCGGGGGAAAGGAAAGGTTGCTTTGTTAATCATGCCCTATGGTGGGTGATTAACTGCTTGTACAATTACGTTTCACTTTTAATTAATTGTGCTTAAGGCTTTAATTAAATTTGGGGGTTCCCTTCTTAGAGCAGCTCGTACTGACGGAGGTGCATGCGCTGGATGATGTCACGGCAGTCGTTAAACACACGGCGGATGTTCTCAGTGTCCACAGCGCAGGTGAAGTGAGGGTAGCAGTAGTGGCGCCCATCCCCACTGGCGGTGCTGATCCTCTGCGGGCACAAATGCAGGGACTCATCAGTGACACCCTCTCCAGGAACCACCCTATCACCAGTGGGGACACCCACCACCAGGGATGGCTGTTGGCCAGCCTCTGATGTCATATTAAAACAGAAGCAAAAGAAGGGGCGCAGAGAACTCTATTCCACACTGGATGTGTGTGAACTAAAACCGCGCAACTGGGTAGCTGAACCCCTGAATTTGGAATTAAGTAAATTTACAGCCATGAGAAAAAGAGGAGGAGCAAGAGAGGAAACTAAAGAAAGGCTCAACTCACCAGAAACTCATCTCGAATGAAGTACTTGGCCCGGGTCACGCGTGGGTCCTCTCCGGGCTCGGGAGTAGCTATCAAAAAAGGGAACATGTATTAATGTAATTAGAAGTTCAAGCAGAGCTGGGGTGCTAACATCATGGTAGCTCCTGAACTCTTCAAAACTCTGATTTTTCCATATGAGAATCGGTAAGAGTGCGGTGAGGGTTTTCAGAACCACTGCAATGAACAGCCAGCAAGAGTGGAAGCCACACATACCATCCTCAGGAGTAGTGTAGCGAGCAAATTCTGGAAAGTAGTCCTCAATCTTCGATTTCCCAGCAAGGACTTTCTCAGCGAGCAGATCTTGCTTGTTGAGGAACAGAATCACAGAGATGGTACGCAGCCATCTGCAAGGAGGGAGCCCGTGTGAATGCCTGGGAGAAGCACGCTTTGGGCCAGGGGTCTGGAATGCGGGCCAGGGCCTCCTGGGCAAGCACAGGGGGCAGGCTGTCATTCTACAAACCTGTTGTTCCAGATGCTCTTGAAGAGGTTCAGAGCCTCCTGCAGGCGGTTGGTCTGGTTGTCCTCCCGGATGACCATGTTGTAGCTGCTGCTGGCCACCACGAAGATGATGGCAGTCACATCTTAACCAAAGAGAGCAAAGCCATAAGCGTGAGCAGCGACACTGATCCCTAACAACACAGAAGCAAAGTGTTCTTCGCCAACAGCCAAGCCCACAGTGTCCTACCATTGAAGCACTGGATCCACTTGCGGCGTTCATCACGCTGGCCACCCACGTCAAACATGCTGGCAGGGAAGAGGACAGCTGGTTAGTCTAGAGGGCTTGGGGTGAATGTCAAGAAACCATGATCTCTGTTGTATAAAAAGGTAACAGTTAGCTTACTGGAAGTTGACTTTGTCCACCTGGAACTTGGTCTCAAAGATTCCAGAAGTCAGGACGCGGCAGCGAAGCAGGTCCTAGAACAAAACTGAGGTCAGTGCATCTCACCAAAGCCAACCGTAAGAGCAGTAATTGGCAATCGAAAGCAAGAGAGTCTCAGTGGTTTGGAAAGAGTGCTCTGGTGGTGAGGGGTTTGCACACCTGGTCGCTCGGCACATAGTCGGCCTGCTTGATCACATCGATCTTGTCCAGGAAGCTGAGAGAAAAAGAAAGACATGAGGGGTGTTCACAGCGCTCACAGCAATTTGCCAACTATTTATTTATATGTGTCTCTCTACAAAGTCAGGCTCAACAGAAGTGACTGTCCCACAGTTACACAGCACTAAGTCAATGGCACGTTTGCTTGTGCGTTGGTTACATTTATGACTCAAAGCTGATGCCTTAAGGAGGTTAGGGCAAATAGGATTTAAGATAACTTTAGGAATCAGGGAACTACAGACGTGTGTAGCAGCTAGCCCATGACCTTGGCGCAGTGGGGCCACACAAACAACACAGGACAGTGGTGGGGCTTTGTTTTTCATTTTCATTTTTCTCTATTTCTCTTTTTTATTCTTTACTCAGCTTGTTTATTCCTGTTGCTCTCTGATAATATTCTTGATTTTTAAAAGGTTTTATGCATTATCAACCAATAGAGAAAAGACCCCAAAACCAGGCTGGCCTATCACATTCTGTGCCATTTGGCAATGCTTGACAAAAACATTTTAATTTTCAAATTGCTTGACTAAAATGGCAAACAGTTTGAAAACAGTATCTCTATATCATCAGTTTAAAAAATAAAGTGACATACTTAAAGGCATCAAGGACTTTCCCCTCAAGGGCACACAAGATTGTTTTAGTTACTCAGAATCTGGATTCCTTCCTTTTTACTTTTTAAGAATCTCATTGATTAAAGAGAACAAAAGAGACTGGCACAAAGGGGCCCTTCTTGCCCTGACCATCCTGAACAGGAAGCAAACACGAAGTTCTCTTCCGTTGTTTCGTCCATGAAATAGAACACTCCAGATACTAAGCTTTTCCTTTAAAAAAATCATCTTGTTTGTGTTACTTGATTAGACACACAGAAAAGTTTACTTTTGAAAGAGTGGGGTAATTTAATTAATATAGAAAATGTTAAAACCAGTTTATTTTTTGGAAGGAGGGGCACATAGAGATTGGAATTGTTTTAAAGTGGGCTAAGGAGAAAAGAAAATCATCAAGAGAGAAAAGTCTATTTAAAGACACTCCCTAAGTTTTGTGTTCCCCTCTTCCTTTTTACTAGTTCAGAGTTAGTCTGGCTTAGAGGATATACTAACTTGCCCAATCAATCTTACATTACAGCACCAGTCCAGAAATAGCTCCCCAGCCGCCCTGGCCTCCAGCATGTTACCATGGCAACAGAACCACAGTTCTATAAATAGCTCATCAGCACCAAATCTTGTGTGAGAGACATCTGGAGTGGAGCCAGCCAAACCCCAGCTCAACAAATAAAAATAGGCAGCTTAAGAAATGGGCACGGCACCAGTGTCTCAACCTTAACATAAAGGCAGTTCAACCAGAAACGTGCCGGCCACGGCAGATGTGGGGCTGTTTGGGCCACTGGGGAGGGAGGACATTTTAAGTTTTAAGCTGCGTTGTTCTCTTTTTCTCTGAGTTTCCTTAAAACTTTTCATGAGCTATGCAAATGGTGCAGTTTTCAGACAAAGTTTCAGGAGTAATTAAGTGTTGCTTAAAAAAAAACCCCGACATCTTTTAAATGTTTTGAGAGAGAAAATGAAATCCAACAAAATTCAACAACCTGGCTAAACTACTGTTAATTAATGAAACTGTGTCTCCCTGCCCCCCAGCATTCAAAACTGGGACGGTTAAACTCTCCTAATCTTGTACCTGTACTTAACTTCTGACTTGGATCCAAAATACAAAACGCAAACAATTCCAGGATTTCCATTTGTTTTGTGTTACTAAAATTAGCGCTTCCAGCTTTTAGTTCAAACTTTTGAGAAAATCAGGGACTTTGTTGAAGGAGGAATGGGGGCTGGGGGTGATAGGGACCAGCCAAGATGGACTGTTTTTCTGTTCCTTGAAAAAATATATAAATTTGCTTGTATATTAAGCCATGGAATATCTATGTATGTGACAACTGAAAATAATGAAAGATATATCCTATGGGAAGGCAGGGCTGGGGAAAGATGAACTGATAGCTTGCACAGAACCTAACGTAAGCTTGTATGATTTATAGATGAGCAGTACTACCACCTCTTCCTCCCTCCTGCTCATTCCAGTAATTTTCACAACCAGTTCCTTGGGCTTGGGGCTGCTAAGTAAAGCAATCCTGGACCTTGGTGAGTCAGCCTGGCACCTTGGTTCCAATGAGTTAATACCTCCTATAGTAAAATCAGTTCCAAAATTCAACTACTTGTAAGAAGGACAGCTAAAACATCAAACCTCTACTAGACTCTGAAGTCACAGGACATTCCTACTTCAGAATATTATTAACTGAGATTGCTTTGTGCATTGTGCAGTTATCAACAAACAAAAGATATCTTTACTTTTTTTTTTTTTTTTAAATAACCCTGACTACCATATGCTTGCTATATCATGTGCAGGGTGAGGGAGGCCACAGACTACTTAAAAAGCAACTTTCTAGCTATGGGGTGTGATGTCCTCTGGGAGAGACCATGAAGGGTGACAGGGACAGAGGGTGGTCCCTGAGGGAATGGTAAGTCAGGTGTGAGGCAACAGGGGTAGCAGCTTGGGCATCAATCTGTTTTTATGCAATACAATCTGTTTTATAATTTCCTTTCTTCATTTATCAGCACACTAATCAGGTGAGCCCACCTTGTAAGTGACTTTGGAGAAAGATGCCTTTCCCATCGCTACTGCAGGCCTTCACCTGTCCTCCTCGACAGCAGTAATTTATTTGAAAATAACCCCACCACGGTACTGTATTGCTTAGGTGTACAGTTTAGGATTTAAAATCCACTGACCACTTACCATCCTTGAATCAAGACCCGGTATGAAGGAATAAATAAGGATATGAAAGAGTTCAAAAGTCAAGACAACATGAAAATAAACTCTACCTAGAGTCACTAAGATCTAGTAATACTAGGCAGCTGCTAGAGTCGCTTACCTGAGAGCAGAAAGACAGCAATCAACAACTAGCAAGGAGAGAGGAGGCATAGCTGTGTCTTCACCATTCCCCTTTGCTATGTTTTAAAATTACAGCAATAAAATATAGTATGTTTAAATTATTTAAAATGTGAGGGCTGCCCTATTTTCCTAAATGCTTGGGGGTCAATTCAATTAATTACTTCCCACTAATTATGAATATTATGAAACTAATCACCATTTTGTTCTAATAGGCATTAAATGTTTATATAAAATAATGTCACTGCACTAAAAAAAAAATGCAATTAAGGACTTTATAAACAATTGAATCAGACTAGAACTTTCTGCCCGTGGGATAACTGGTTGGCATCTATGAAAGGAATCATTGACAAGTAACTGTCAAAGCAGGAATCACAGGTGTTCATGTTTTCTCATTTTTGCCTGTTTTACGTGCTGATGGGTTGGGCCGGTGTTACTTACTACTGGGCACAGTCAATCAGCTGGTACTCGTTGGACCGTTCGTAGCAGGCACGCACTCCTTCATCCTCCCACAGAGCCTTGGCATGCTCATAGAATTCCTGAAAGTGAATACAAGAAAGTTTAAAGAAAGACAAGACCTTGAACTAATCAAGAATGCTGTCATTTGAACCCTGAGACCAGAGTTCCTTATGTGACCAACACTTGGTGTGATTCTGAATTTTGAGACCAGTGAATGAATGAATGCTCACAAAGAACTTTAATTCGACATGTTAAACATATTCAAAAGTTCACATAATTAGCTGCTGCTCTTATTGTGAATTGCTGGTTTTGGGTAGTTTCTTCTGTTATTTTGTTGTAGGGGGTGGTGGGGTAAGCTACTGAATACTTTCTTCACAGAATTGTTTAGGAAGAATATACACTAATCTATGTTAGGAGAATATGCTAATAAGTGATTCAATGTTGTGAAAACAAGAAACTTCATTTGTAAGATGTGCTGGGACTAAATTTTCCTTCTGGGAAAATATGACTCTTACCAAAAAAATATGACGATGGGGGACTCGTAAGTAGGAACATAACCGTTCAGATATTAGTAGGACTAATAAAAGGTTATTGTTCTGATACATGTTTAATAGGCTGCCATGTTTCCTTTTTCCTATTAGAAATATAGAATTCTATTTCTTGAAGGTGGATTATATTATACATATTGTTTACTGCTTTTTTTTTCTCAAAATAATGCTATTTTAAAAAATTTAGCTAGCTACACTAACTGAATACTATTAATTTCTCTGCTAATGTAAGTTTGCAGCCAAGTCCATCTAAAATATACAAACACAAATTCCCACGAAAGCCTGACAAAAGGCAACAGTAACTCATTGTTTTCGCTGTAGACAAGTCTCTTCCTTGTGGGCCTTACAAACGCATCCATCTTTCCAGTTCCCTGCGTATACGCCACTCTCCCCACAAAGGGGCCTAAACGTGCATGTTTGGGCTTGAACGGCTTTTTTGTTCCCTAAAAATAGTTCTTTAGGGAGCCGAGAGTGTCATGCATCCAGAGGAAAGTCTCTCCATGTGTTCTATTTTTTTTTTTTTTTTTTTGAGATGGAGTTTTGCTCTTGTTACCCAGGCTGGAGTGCAATGGCGCGATCTCGGCTCACCGCAACCTCTGCCTCCTGGGTTTAGGCAATTCTCCTGCCTCAGCCTCCTGAGTAGCTGGGATTACAGGCACATGTGTTCTATTCTATGATGTTTAAATGTATCTAAATTGTAACCCAAAAATACATTTTTTTAATAATGAGAAAAGATTTCATTTGCCCCAAGACCAGGACTGACTTTAGGAAACGCTTAATAAATATGAAAAGGTCACCTGTTTAAAATGAGAATGTCTTCCATTTGGCACTTCACTGAGGCATCCCAAGGTACCTTAGGGCACTTCCAGTGGAGTAAATGGACAATTAGTATTTGTGTGCCATATTTAAGATACAGGTTTGTTTGTCCTACGATGTGAATGACGGCATAATTAAGCCTACCATAGCTCAGGAACTTTTTTCCTCCTAAAAATTTACAATCTAATAAAATAAGATTGTAATATTAAAGAGTGATGTTTATTTGTGAGGACAGGCGAGCTAAGATGTACAAGGGGTGACAGAATCTTGCTCATCCATCTCGAACAAAGCCCTAATTATTATTATTATTAAATTGGGGTTACACATGAAATTAACTTTTTCCTAAGGATGGACGTCACTGAAATGTGTTTTTGCCTGAGGTGTGGTTTGGACACTCTTGCCCATGTGCAGGCCTGCCACTGATGTTCCTACAGGAACACTATGCTCAGGTGAGTGGGACTCAGGCCACATAAGTCAGGGTGTAGCTTACGGGAGGGAAGTCGAAGTCAGGCACGTTCATCACACTCAGAATGTAGTCCACTCTGAACTGGTTCTCAGGGTTGGCCAGCTCCACAGGGGGCACCAGGTTGCTCATGGCGGCCACAATGGTCTGAAAATGATTTAGCAAAGCGGTCAGGGAACAGCACTGGCTGGGGGGGAGCTGTAAGACAGAAAAAGTGCAAGGATCCAGCACGTACTTCGATCGCCTCTTTCAGGTTGTTTTTGATGTCCTGCACTTTGGTTGCCTTCTCACTGCAGTGGGATTGAAAAAAGAAGAAAATCATATTGCATCATATCAATTAACGGTATTGCTTTCATAAAGATATTCCGACTAAAAAGCATAGTATTCTGTTCTTCAAGGAGTTGTGGGTTCAGATCTGTGCAAAGATTGGAGGCAGCTGAATAGACATGGTTTCGAATTATAACATCCCAAATGTGTCCTGAGGACATGCCAATGGGACAGATGAGCAAATTGCCTTAGCAATCATGACTGTACCAAAAGTTGCATATAAGTCACTGACTCTTTCAGGTGGTCCCATGGGCTTGAAGCCCCACACTACATACTAACACTTCTCCTGACCCTGTTAGCCTCTGAGTAGGGGTGAGGCTGGGGTGACAGGTCACTAAGAGTTTGCAGTGGAGCAAAACAAGTCCCCTATTTTGACTTGGAATTCATTCAGTTGCTAGGTTAGCATACGGAGAGAGAACCAGTGAGCACAGGTAGTGGTGTTAATAGTTCATTACAGGGGGCTGGGCACTTGGTGACTCACGCCTGTAGGGCAGATTGCTTGAGGTGTGGAGTTCAAGACCAGTCTGGCCAACATGGTGAAACCCCATCTCTACTAAAAACACAAAACAATTAGCCAGGTTTGGTGGCGTGCACCTGTAATCCCAGCTACAGAATGAGGGAGGCTGAGGGAGGGGAACTGCTTGAAGCAGGGAGGTGGAGTTTGCAGTGAGCCTAGATCATGCCACTGCACTCCAGCCTGGGTGACAGAGCAAGACTGTCTGGGAGGGAAAAAAAAAAAAAAAAAAAAAAAAAAGGGCTGGGTGCCATGGCTCATGCTTGCAATCCCAGCACTTTGGGAAGCTGAGGCAGGTGAATCATGAGGTCAGCAGTTCCAGACCAGCCTGGCCAACATGGTGAAACCCCATCTCTACTAAAAATATAAAAAATTAGCTGGGTGTAGTGGCACACACCCGTAATCCTAGCTACTGGGTAGACTGAGGCAGGAGAATCACTTGAACCCGTGAGGTGGAGGTTGCAGTAGGCAGAGATTGCACCACTCCAGCCCAGGCAAAAGACTGAGACTCCATCTCAAAGAAAAAAAGGTTCATTACAGGTCTCAGGGCTTTGCTGCAAGTCATGTGTGTGCTGCTCCAGGCGCTGCAACTAGCAGCAATGAACTTTCTAGTTCATGATATTAGTGCATGTTGGTCCATGGGCATAGGTATCAAATAAGATTCCACCCCCTAGAAGTTCCTATACTCTATGGGGGAGGGAGTCAGATCCCTCTGCTAAGTAGAGGTTGAAGGTTTTGTAGGTCTTCCTTGACTTTAACTTGGCCAAATGGGATGGCTTGTGTGGTCTTTACAGAATGATTTATATTCAGGGTCACTGGTCCCACAGGTAAAGGCTACACCCTCTGGCTTCTGGGGACTCTAATGTTAATTTCTGTACCAGATTACACTGATCCAAATGCCATATGTCTTTCAGAAACTAGCCTTCTAATGTTAGAAGCACAGCCAGGGAAGGTTCTGGAGTTTGTGTTTTTAGGGGGCAAGAAAGGGCCTCTTAGAGTCTCACCAGGTCTACAGCCCAAAAATGTACAGCACACCTAGCATACCTGCTACATCTGTCAGGCCCTGGGAGGTGAGGGCATTGTCGTACAGAAGGAAGGTGCGATGGTCCTGCCCCTCTGATGGGGAAACTGAGGCTGAGGGGGGAAAGCCTTGAGTTGCAGAGGCAGAAACCGATGGGGGTGGGAGATGCAGGGGACAGGGTTTATCTTTTTCACTGTGTTTTTTTTTTTTTAATCTTTTGAGATTCCCAGTTTTTTAAGCGTTCACTTGGCTGACGCACCAATTCACAGAATGGAGGTAGAAATTAAACATATAATTCCCTCCAGACTAGAACATGACAAAGTCAAGGTAGAGAAAAGGAGGAGGGAGGTTAATTAGAAACAGCAAACGAGCAGGGCATGGCAGTCAGTGGGGAAGGAGGGGTGGGGACGGATGGTGGGGTCAAGTGCAAGCCTGCCCACAGGCCTTCCACAAATGTGGTCTTCCCTTTCTCAAAGAACTCTACTCTTGAATGTCTTTCTGAATTAACATCTGCGTACTTATTTGAGGGGGCGTTCACAGGTCTCCACGCCACTGTTCTACACTGGAGTGAAGAGCTGGCAAAGTTCAGAGGGGCCATGCTCATTAGTGGTGGGGGATGTCTGGGGAAAGGAGGGGAACAGATGGTGCCAGGAATCCCCGCAGGGCCATTTAAGTAAAAGTGATGCAGGTCCAGAGAACCCCAGAAGCACAGATGACAGGGATAGGTGAACTTCGGACCTTGTGCACAAATCTGAAATCTGATTCTGGCCCCCAGACTCTTAAAGCAAACACCACAGAGTGAAAGGGACCAAGTCCTCACCGTTCTGTGGGACTGTCTGCTTTGTATGTGCAGAATCGAAGCTCATTTCTAAAATTAAGAATTTCTGGCCTTGGTATTACAGTCTAACATCAATTATTTCAATGTTATAAATTAAGAGAACATGTGTTTGATGGTCCCCAGTGTTCACTCGTGAATGCAGAATTTACCTAAAAACCCCTAGGACAAATCTATCCCCATTCATTAAAAGCAGGCTCCATTTCATAGGTAATGAAAGCTATCAACCTTTGGTTTTGAGGTTTCATAATAGTAAAATTAGATACATTTGGGTGCTAAATATCCAAATCCGCATACAGCAAGAAGAAAGTATTTCCAGAAACAAGTTTTTTTCATTCAGTTTGATATTTTGGTCTAAGCAGTAGTATGATAATTGGAAAACTTCCCGTCTTAAAATACGGATATTTTGAGAACGTGTTCAGTATTCATCTACGTATGTGAATAGGTGTGGGAGTATATCAAGTATAAAACAGCTAAAATAGAAATCTAAAATCTAATTCGGGTGTGTAATACTAAAACATAAAATTCTTCCATTGAAGCAATTACTATGTAGATGGAGATATTATACTGGGGGTTGGCAGGTTTATCATCACTTTTACTATTGCTTAATGAATTTAAACGTTGATTGTGAAATTCAGAGAAAAATTCCTTAGATGTCTTTAAACTACCTAACAAAGGCAAAATATATGCCAGTAGCTAGAATTGATTGGCTACAAAATTGGGGCAAGGGCTGGAAGTACTTTTAGGGTCTTGGTGCTTCCTCCTCCCCCATCTATGCATAGAGCAGATGAGCTGCATTCAGTTTTTAAGAGCCCCTCCCCTCCCCCGCTTTAGCTAAGTAAGTGGTGGTGGGAGGGGGGCTATTCAGGTCTCCACCTTATCCTTGTGCTTTGGTGGGAAAAGACAGACAAAGGAAGGAAGACAGAAGACAGACTCGAGATACAGGGATTGCTGAAACATGCAGAGAATTTTTATTTATCACGAATGTTAATACTTATATTTACTTGCAGAACAGTCACAGAGAGATGTGCAGGCAAGGTTATTAGTAGGGTTCAAGGGTTTAGCACAACATCTAGTACACATCAGGTTGTTCACTAAGGAAGGACTTGTCATATTTTCCTCAAATGCCAACTTTTGGTACAGTAGATTGTTAGTCATTTCTTATAGAGATGCCTTTTTGGATAGATGTCATACTACATTTCTTCCAATTTAGGATTTCAGTCCATTTTTTGTTTTTTCAATCATTGTTCAAGGTCAGGTAGTAGGGGCCCCTCCCTCCTCCCCCCCCAAGACAACAGAATAGTATTCTTATTAGAAGTTCCTAAGACCGAGCAATTCCAGCATGCAAATTGTGATAGGACATAGCCGGGAAGATGAGAAACTGTAGCCATCATCTAGGGATAATATATTCTAAAAGAAACAGATGAACAAACATGTGTCAGTTACTTTGTCCCCAGACCCCAATATTTTGCCCCTCCCCTCCCCGGCCACAGCAGCTGTTTGAGATCCTCTAAGCTAAGTCTGGTTCTGCATGTTCTCATGAGAAATAGCCACTCCACCACTGCATGCTAAATACACGGCAGAGCTAGAGTGGTTACCTGGCATGCATGTGTGTGTGCGCGGTGCGTGTGCATGTGTGTGCGTGGTGCGTGTGCATGTGTGTGCGTGTCTGTGTATGCATGAGCATGTGTGTGCGTGTGTGATGGGTGTGGGGATGCAGGAAGCAAAGAAAAAAATTTGATAATGAACGGAAAAATAATAGATGCCACCATGAATTTCCTTATCCACTAGCTAACTAACGTAAAGTGCCTTGGATTCAAATACACTTGATCGTTTTTAAAAGGCCAGAGGCTTTTCAAGATGATTCTTGATGACGACCTGCTGCAAGGTACCAAGTCATTTTTCAAAATTAAAGACGGTGCAGCATTGCGTATTTTAATAGAAGGCAAAAAATTGTTTCAAAGAGGTCTGAAATTTTAAAATCAGACCAACCAGTGGTAAATGGAATTTGGTAGACAGTTTTAAAGACAAGTAGCTGGTTCAAACGGAGAGCTAGGGGAAAATAAAAACCATAGGGAAAAACATCAATTCTCAAAATCCTAAACTGATCGTCTAAAGCTGAAATCTATAACTTTCCCCAAGCTGGATCTCATTCTACTTTAAGCATGGCCAAAAAAATTATGTTACGCACTTTACTTGCTCCAAAATATTAGGAAATGGTCTGTTATTTGCAAATGTATGCCAATATAGCTGATGGTCCTTTAAATTATTTTTATTTTCTTCCCGGGTCTCTGGCCTCAGTTTCCCAGTATGATCTTCATGTTTGTTTTGTTAAACAATTTTTCTGTTTTTGAATGTGCCTACCCATCGCTGTTGCTCCTTGCAGCCTGCGGGTCCTCTTCGCCGCCCCTTTTAAAGAGAGATGAAAGCTCACCTAATCTGCAAGGCACCGCAATTTCACACAAACCCCACACAGTCTCTCTACATTCCGAAACAATCAGCCAAGAGCAAAAGCAACAATTCGCGCGCTATCCGTCCTCCCGTTAATTCTTAGGTCGCCTTTCTGTCTAAATTGGTTGGTCTACTGAGACTGCAGGCCAAGGGGGAAGGATCCCACACCTCTGCTGCAGTATTAACAGAGCTCTCTGGAGACTCTGGTTGGATACAGGAGGGATGGATAATTATTTTCTTGTGCTTTCACTAAATGTACATGCATTAGGGAGGTAAAGCAGTGATTTATCTCACAATTCTTTGGAGAATATGGCAGTGCATAAGGCTCTTAATTTTCCCAGGTCACAGTCTTCACAGTGTTGTATCTAAAGGCACAAAGGCGTAGACGGAGGAGACTTCTGCCCGTGATTTCCTGCAAAACTAATGACCTCACTTCCTGCAGTGGGGGGAAACTATAAAATGGTTTTATTTATAAATAATTGTTCCCCATAAATTATCATTAAACTATGTCTGGACTGTGATGCAGCAAAAAATTTAAAAGAACCAAAAACCCCACCCCCTACCACCACAGAAAAAAAGGAGAAAAAAAAAAAAAACCCAAACCCGATCTTCATAAACAGTAGGAATTCCTCCTTGAAGGCCGAAGGGCAGCATTCTACAGTTTAGTAATTAGTTCAACCAATGTTAACTGTGTTTATGTTTTGTTTTTGTTTTGTTCCTGGCACTAAATGTAAGAAAAAGAGTTAGCTTTGAGTTAGGAAAATCCAAATCCAATCTCTGTATTTCTGAAGGTCAAATCAATATTATCTTACTCTTAAAATTTTAACCGGTATGGCAGCCCACAGGGAGTTAAAGCAAATTTAATAGCTCAGCCTAGCCCTAACAAAATGCAAGATCAAGCAGGAAAAACCCTGTACCACACAGACCACCCTTTAGGGACAGATGTCACTGTCTCATAGGGAATTCCTAGTTAAGAAGGAAATAGCTTTTGTTGCAGTACCGCAGTGAGGAAAAAGAAAAAAAGAGGCAGTTGGACGAGATAAAAATAAGGTATCTAGGCTCCCATGAGGAATACCCCCGTCAACCCTTTCACAGGCTAAATTTAACGTATCTATGCCCTTGTCTGCAAAGAAGGCAAACTGGGAATGTTGCTTCCTCTTTCCAAAAAGAAAACAGAAAAGAGAAGTTCTGGTTGAAAACCCTTGCCTGGTGTTACAGGCTGGCTCACTTACGGAGGAGAATCCTTGCTATAAAAATTGTTAAATTTCAGGGCAGTCTGTAGAGTAATGAAGCTGTCAGTAGTTTATTTCAAAGGTGACTTAGCTTTCGACCGAAGCAAGCTAAGGTAAACAGTGGCTCCTGCACCTTCTAAAAATGCTAGCCACGTCCAGTTTTCATGAAAATCTTTATCTAGAGGATACATGGTCAAATGATTTTTGCTGAACTACTCTCACGAAGAAGTACTCCTACAAGTTGCAGAGGGAAAATGTGTGCAAGATTTTTCTTCAATTTACAAATTCACGGTTGGAAGTCTATCTTGGGGTTTTTATTTCTTGTCAGGATGGCAGTCTCCGCTGGCAGGGCTTCATCCAGGGGTGTGTCAAGATTTAGGAATTTTGGAAGTGGTTGGTGACAAGTGATGCTGACTTACTCAACAGCACCTATGTGCGGACTGACCACCCATGAGAGTCATCATCAGACTAGTAAAGAAGCCCACCCTCTGCATCCCAACCAATCTTTCAGAATTCAGGGTTAAAGTGTAATAAGCATCCTAAACTAACATGACGGTTTGTATGGATGATGTCATCCTTTTCTAAACAATTATTTGATCTAACAAATTCTAAAATTATCCATAAGGAGCTGCCAACCTTGCTCTGAAAGGTGATAAAATTCACCTTTGTTTCCCAGATGCTTAGTGACTAGTAAAGGTTTTTTTTGTTTGTTTGGTTGTGGGGGGGTGTATAATTAAATGCCACCACCTTGACTGCATCTCCCCTTCTGACATGGAAGCCAGTACAACTCAAGGTTAAGTTTTCAATTGAATCCAGGTTTAAGAAAGGGAATGGGGCTGTGCTAACCAGCTAATAATTACAAACTAGTGCCTTCAGGTGCTTGTAATCTAGTATGGTTAACGCTGTCACACCAGTGAAGAGAGAGACGGGTAAATTTAGTTTTTTTTTTTTTTTTTTTTTTTTTAAACACATTTTGTTACATGAGAATGATGGTCAGGCCCCATGTGGGGTCTTGGGGAGAAAGGCAAGCTCCCTGATTTACTGAATGTTCCGTTTGCATTCCTCATGCGAGGCAGGGCCCCCTAACTTGTCTCACACGTCTAATATAAACTCTCTCCTGTTTAATCTTCATTCTCACTGCGGGACTGCCACACTGCCCTATACCAGGATACCTGGGAGGACTTTTCAAAGGCAAACATGCCCCTCAATGCGACTGGGAGTACCTAACCTCCCGGTCTTTCCATCCTTCAAATAAATGTTCCCTTTTTCTTCTCTTTAGGCAGGGGTACCAATTTGTTTTTTGTTTTAAAGGGAAACAATGATTTGTCCATAATTTAAGGGGGGGGGGGCCAAAAAATGAGTAACTGTAAACAAGGGCTGCCACTTCCAAATCTGTTTCTGGTGAGAATATTATTCAAATGATGTTTCCCTAATAGTTTAAAACATCCCGTGTGGGTTCATTACATTGAAACCTGCCTGGGGTGGGGTGGGGTCAATCTGCAGTGATCAGCATGGGCCGGGCAAGGGGGCGGCGGCCAAAGCCACATTAGAGACACTGCAGCAAGTCTGGAGGCTGCGGCAGGGACCTGACCCAGAGAGGGGGCTGTCTCGGGGCCAAGTGCTGTCAAGCGTCCCCTGCAACCAGGCATGATTTTCTTGGGATAGGGAGCTGTTTGGCATGAACACCGGTGCTTCATCAGTAGTAGTAGTATTTGTTGAACCAAAGATTCAAGGGAGGGGGGAGATCCTAAAGAGCCCTTCCCAGGATTTCTAACATGTAAATTAGGAAAAATTAAGTGAAACCTGGCTGCCCAGCCCCCAAAGCCTCCCTAGACTTCCTAAAGGTTAGTATCAAGTCTGTTCCTCTTACTTGGTGCCCCTGCACAGATTTGACACTTACTCTCCATTAAACCCATTAACATGCAGGATCCTCATCTGCTTCACAATGGTGCTTTTACCAGATTCTCCAGCACCTAGAAAATGAAAGTAAGTCTCAGGTTATGAAGGAGGCATTTTACATACTTTGGGCAGGGAGGACTGCTGCTGCTGTTTTGTTTTTCCATGGAAGCGACATGCAGAAAAACAAACACAAAATCAGAGACTTGCAATTTTCCTTGACATTTCGACGCAGAGAAAGGAAATCAAAGTCCAACTCAGTGTCTACCTGCAGTATTTTCCCATCAGAATAACAAGAATTAAAGGTTTGCTCATTTTAATTTTTCCCCCTCTTGATTGTTTAAAAAATTTTGGGGTGGTGAAGGAAAGGGACAAAGAGAAGGAGTGACGCAATTTTGTCATTTGAGGGGTAAACAAGAAAACTGAAGTTAAAACTGTGAAGCGGAATCCCTGATACATGAACATTCATTCACACATAAACGTATCTAGACACATAATTTGTTGTCAGATGTTTCATGGTTAAAATACCCGGGATTCCCAACAATGCCCAGACACCGCAGTCTCTTCCACATCACGTAGCGATGCAGCACTTTCCTTACTAACATTTTCACAACGCAGCTTCTTTCTGTGGTTTCCTACCCCTTGGGCTACTTAAAAATCCACCCCTAAAACTGCATTACATTTTTTCCCCTTTCCACCCTCCTCTTCCCTCACAAACTATATCTTTCTAAAGATAAATTCCCTCTGGGTACAACTATGTTGCTGAGGGAAATGGAAGACCACCAATTATCTGTCATCTTCTAGAAAAACCACATTTTAATATCAAATACAGTTCTTGAGACTCTATTAGCATTAGGTAAACTGCAACAACAGTAAAAAGTAATACACGAACAAAACTTTAATCCAAAGGAAAACTATTCCTGGGAACTATTGATTTTGAAAGAGATTCCAAGACCTTCCCAACTAAAGAGTAGGAACACATGCCTCCATTTTAAATCATCTTTCATTTGTAAAAATACATATATGTTTCATGGGAAAAACACATTTCCATCAAGCTAGAAGGAGGATTGCTATTTTGCATCTCCTTTTTAGTAACGCACATTTCCAAGATAATACACGTGTGAACAGTTTTTTGCCCTCCGTCCACACAAATCTGCTTTTTACCCTTTTTTTCTTAACTTTTAACTGTATTGTTTTGTTTTAATGCCCAGATAACAAAGCATTCCTCCTTCGCTGGCCTTTTCACAAGCTCATAATCAATATCTGTAAAAGTTAAAATTAGTTTCCACAGAAACATTGATTTCAAAGCAAACACTATCTTAATGAGCCTAACTCTCATAAATTAAAAATATAAATGGCACTATTAAGAGATGCCATGAAGAGAATATGTAATATTCAGCAGGATCTCTAATATTCTAATTTCAGAAGTGTTAAACTACGTAACGTCTAACGTCTATCTTTTACAGGCAAAAACAGATCCGTGCCTCAGTTTCCACATTTATGAAATGTGGCTGAAAAATTATTTTAAGATCTGTGTAGTTCTCTAATTCACTTTATTTTTATGTCGCTAAGATGGAGTAAAAAGAGGATTTGGGGCATTATTACGTTTCCTCCTTCGGGGGAGGCATTTTGGTGAGAATCACCATTTAACAATGCAAAATGTTGTGTCACTGGCTTGGGCTGCAGATTCCTAGGCCAGAGGCCATCAACACATCATGATGTAATGTAGTCATATAGACTAGGACACTTAGATTAGTCCCTGTGACGCAAGGTGTGTTCTGGGTAACAGTCTCAAATTAAGTGGAGACTTCGTGATCACTGCACAAAGGTGTTGGAAATTTAAGGTGCCATTAGATTAAATTAAAAGATACCATTAGCATCACATTTGACTTAAATCAGCATTCAGATAGCATTCATAAGAAAGATTCTAGACTTTTCCAGAGTTATACTTTGAAATCATGTTATACGCATATTAATGTCCCAATAGCACAATTCTGCTTTTAAAAGTTTTAGACAAGACAGCAACACATGTACCATTTAATTACTGATATTGCAAATGCATAAACGCCAAAGACACTTATTTTCACTTAATTAATTTTCTGCTTTCATAAATCTGGACCCAGGAGAACAAAGTCATGACCCATCCAAAAAGCAAACCAAAAGCCATCAAAGGAAAAACTACCTCGGCCTTTTTATATTTTATTCTTTATAATCAAGCGGTTTTGTTGAAATGTGACCACGAACGAGGTCTTAGCAAATTCAGAAATTTATTCAGATAGCTAAATTATCAAGGAAGTGGAAAACTTCCATTTTTAATTAATGCTGTGTAATTCTTTTGGTCATTTAAAATCCCCCCCCCC